CCCTCATAATTGGAATCTAATGAACAAACTGCACTAACAAGGAAAATGCAGACGGACTCATAGATGGAGAGCAGATGACAGCTATGGGCGGTGGGGAGGTCAGGGGATGGAGGGATTGAGCGAAAAAGGACCCAAGCACATGGACAACAGGATGGTGATTGCTGGCAGGAGAGGGTATAAGGGGACTAAATGGTAATGGGGAAAAAATAAAAATAAAAATTTTAAGAAAACAAAACAAAACACTCTTCTTCCTGAGAAGGAACATTAGAAATTGAAAACCAAAGCTAATTTTCGTACCCTAAATTACTGCTTCAGACTTGACTATGATTTATATTCTAGCATGAGTATGTATATTCCATATAGTCCATGGAAAATATCCTATCCAAACTATCCTTAAACATTAAATTTACTCTTTCAACTGGAACCTGGATAATTGCAATTCTCTTAAATACAGAGCAGTAACACAAACTAGGAATAAAGTTATCACAAAGAAGGCAGATTCATCCATATAAGAAAATGAAAAGACTACCAAGGGCGTTTTCAGAGATGGGAATACCTTGAAGTAGGAGCAAATATTAAATTATTTCCGCAGTTTCAACTTAAATATGTTTCAAGTAGCACTGATTATAATAAAAGAGCAAGAATAGGGAAAAAAAGAGAAATTATTTTAGCAAAATATGAGCATCTCTTTCAAACATCACCAAAATATATAGGCACTCAATTTCTAATTTCCAATCTCATAAAGGAAAAATCCAATTAAAACAAGGCAAGTAATGAGAAAGAGTTTACAATGGGAAAATATTATTCCTCTACATGCTAGAAATAAATGGAAGGTATGAATTCAAAATACAGCATTTTGTTTTCAAGATTTATTTATGCCGTATATGGGAACTCTCAATTTACAGCAGAAAACACTGCAGTAATTGGCATGACCAGGGTACTGGTTACCTCAGTACTTCCTACTCAACAATGTTTATAGAAAAAACTTCCACTTTGGAAACTATACCTAAAAAAGGAATTTTCTTTGAAGCCTAAAAGAATTTAATTAAAGATAAAGCTCCTTGGGTGGTCGCATAACACATCAAACAGATCATACTTCAAGCAGAATTGTTACTATTCAGTTATAAATGCATGACTCATAAGAATGTAAATGAAAAGGGGTTTTTTTCTGTGTACATCAACTTGGAAGTATGTTTTTTCTGTGCATGTCAACTTGGAGGTACAATCAGAAATATATTATCACATTTGCTCAGTCTATAGATTTTGGCTCCAATTTAACTTTATGTGGTTAAACACTGATTAATGAATGACATGTTACCAAATAAAAAAATTTTTAATTACTTTAAAAAACATGCTTAAGAATCCTTGGTCATACAGAACTGGAAACATACAATAAATAGAAAGTTCATTGAAAATACTAACAAAGCCTCAATATTATAAATGAATGTATTTCCTCCCAATACTCGGAGAATTTTCACACTCACAGCGTTTCTAAAAACCTACATATATTATCAAGTATTAAAAACTTCCATTATGAATTGTCTTCAGATTTTCATTATAGACTGTCTACAGGCAAATACAATATTACCATTTTTACTAACATTTGCTGGTAGTTTATCCCACATGATCAGGGAAGAAGTACAGTTCAGTGAAATCTCTCTTCAGGAACTTTAAAAGGAAGAAAAATATAAATTTTTTTTGGAAATGATATAGCTACCTTCCTTGCCTTTCTAAATGAAACACATTAAAAGTAATGTCAGATTGTAGTGATGGCTCAGGGTCATCCATTATAGTCCTATAATACAGTAAGGATTTTAAGGACAGAAGTGTAAGTGATGACATACTTAAAAGTCAGTAAATCGGTTGCTAATTACCTAATAGCTGTCACTTCTGTTGAAAGCAGAACCATTCCTTGCTGTTTATAACCTGACAAATCTAATCAATAAACAATCCCAAAACAATTCTAAAACCTGAAGGAAACAGCTTTCTCCTCCTTCAACTACCACCTAATACTGCATAGACAAATGTAAAAGGGCATGGAGATAACTAACTAAATAAATGAAAATTATTATAAATAAAAATTACATATGACAGAAGTTTTACATGGTAGACTAAAGGCAGTAAAAGATGTTATAGGCAATAACTGGTGGGTTACTGAGAACAATCTGAATAATAAAACAGAAACTTTGGATAATAGGCATTTTTTTTAAAGACAGAAAAGGCTACGAGTGAAAGAACAATTGAAGTGAAATTTGTCAGTGAATTCTGTACAAGATAGATGAATAAAGGAAATGAAATAATCTAAGTTACCATGATAAATGGTATCAAAGGTGGATGGAGCTCTTAGATAATGCAACAGTTGCACAATGGAAAGTCATTGGACCTTTTAGTAGGCAACTGTGGTAAGATCAGTGCCCTCTGACCACACACATACACACAAGAATGGATACTTAAAAGTAATGGATCAATGAAATAACTGATAATACATAGTATATTGCCAAAAATGTCCTCATAAATTAAGACAAAAAAAAAATTTCCTGGGTTTCAAGATGTCAAAAAGGTAAATATTAATAGACAACTGGCAAGTATTTATCAAGTACCTACTATGTGATTTGCAGCATATCAAATATGAAATATATTCCTCTCCCTCAAGCAGCTTACAGCAAATTAGGAAAATAAATATATCACAGACATTAAGTAAAAAAAAAAAAAAAAGTTATACAAATTAAAGCAAGGTTTTCATTTTAATGCTAACAAATTATGAACAAAGCTGTAATGTGAGGCCTGGTCATAGACTAGATGAGTATGAGTAACATTCTGGAAAGTCATTTGATGACGCTACAAGAGCCAACACACACACATACACACACCCTCTCTTTCTCCACACCCCCCCCCCCGCCCCGCGCCGCCCCCAGCCAGGAATTCTTCCTTTACAAATCGGAAGGAAAAATTTTTTTCAGAGATTTATGTAAAAGGCCTATTAATGAAAGTTACACTGGCAAAACGTTAGAAACATCCCAAACATCTGCCAATAACAAATTTAAATATGATAGTTACATGATGTAATGCTAAGCAGGCAAAAATAATTTTTCCAAAGACTATTTAATGACATGGGGATGTTTATGAGGTAAAATTAGATAAATATGCTGCAGGCTCCTATTTCTAGGAAAAACACAAAATGCATAGGAAAATATTTAAAGAGAAATACAATTTTTATTTTTACTCGCACTCATCTTGATTTTTCAAATTATTTTGTAATAAAATTTCGAGCAATTACGTTTCAAAAGGCACGTCACACCCAAAGAAAGTAAAAAAAGAAAAAAGAAATCAATGTGAAAGAACTGGCCCGGATTAAGAGAAATTTCATGTATTAAAAAAAAGAAAAAAATTCTCCCCAAGGGCTGGGAAAAAGAAGTAATGACAATCTAGATTAAAACTATGAGGAAATGATGGCACCCTTGACACTGATCTGAACAAGTAAGTGGAAAATGAGGGAGATCAAAGATAACAGTTACAACAGATTTTGAAGATATCCAAATATATCCTATTTCATGATTCAGTGTTTATATTTTTCCAGTATGCTGGCTTATTAAAAAAAAAAACCAGTGAGTTTTGTTATAAAACCGTATTACGTAGCAATTTTTTTTATTTGTAGTGTTGGTAAAGATCATAAATCATTACTACTAAGGCATTTGATTTTATAACGATCTCTTAACGCAGGGACAACGCTATGAAACTATTTACAAGAGAAAACAGAGATCAGAGATGTTGGGACTTGCCCATGGAAGCAGCTAGTAAGAACTGGAAACAGCAGAGACCACTCACTGCTAAGCCTCTTTCTCAAGCAATCTACAATCCAGAACTGCAGATTTTTCTCCAATATTATTTTTAGAGCCACTTTTTCCTAGTCAAAAAAAAACACTGCTGGTCTTGTCTGCAGTACTGGTAAATATCTCGCTCAGGTTTTTGTTAATCTGCCCCTTCCTGCATTTTTTAAAACATTCCTGCTGACCAAAACTCGGCACGAAGTTAAGCAAACCGATTAACGAAAGACGCAACAAAGCTATCCTCTTAAATCTCGCCAGCTGACCAAAGTTTGGGGAAAGCAAAAGGAATGTGCTTCCCACGACTTAAAAAAAAAAAGAAATAGAAATCATCTCCCACGCCAGACAAGGAACAAACCCAACACTAATTTTCTCGGAGTAAGAAAACATCACACAAACGTCCATCCAGAGCCTTCCCTCTTCGATGTAAAACTATCTATCGTCTTCCTTTCCAGTGGTTTCTTTACTGACCCGGACATAGCCTCGTAGTTCTTACTACGAAACTGGGGAGAGCCTCAAATTTTCCATCAACGTCGGTCCCTTCTGCACACCGAGAAGCGACACAAACTTACAAACATCATTCCTCAGTAATTCTCTACATTCCCCACCTCCACCCCCATCTAATTCGAAAGACCAAACCAACGTTTCCCTGGAATAAAGTGTGAAAGAAATAAAACAAGAGTCACAACTAGCCTAAGTGCCAGCTATCACGGAATCACCCTAAACAGCGTTTGCCACAACTGCACCCGCAGAAGCTCCGCAACCCAAGCAAGAGGCGGGTCCAGAAGGCCACGTGTTCGGCCTTCTGCGCACGCGCTAGCCAAAACAAAAGGAAGGCCTGCCAAGCCCCTCCCCTTCCCCACGTGACTGCTCCTAGGTCCGCCCCCAACTTCTCCCTCCACCCCTTTCCTCCCCTCCCCTGAGCTACTGCCAAGGCTGTTAGGTTTAGCCGTTTAAATCTGGCTGCGGTCCGACCCCTGCCCTAGAGCACAATCCTGTGCGGGACCCAGAGTCGCGCAGCCCAGAGGATTCGAGGGGCAAGAGAGCTACCGGTCGGTCGCTTGGCCCGCAATCCAGCCAGCGGTCCTCTCCGCCCTTTCCTCCCCGCGCTGCCCCCGACCCCAGCAGAGGAGACCCACCCCCACTTAGCCCGCCGCTGCGACGCCGGCCACTCGCCTGCTGGGGCGCCCTGGCTCCCCTCCGCCGCCGCACCTTTGGTCCGGCCGTGGTGGGGGCTGCTGAAGTGATCTCTAGCTGCCCGCCCGCCTCCCCCACCCGGGGCGCTGCTGACTCGTCTCCAGAGCGCGCCCCGTTCCTGTCCCGGCTGCCGCCGCCGCCGCCGCGGTTTAACAGTCCGCCCGCAGCCAGCACCTCGGGGCGGCTCGGGGAACAGAACCCTGCCGTGGTGGAGGGGCAGTGGGCGGGGCGCGGCGCAGGCCAATGGCAGCGGGGGAGGGGCAGCGCCATGCAAATGAGCGCGGGTGGTGGGGAAACCCCGGCCGAGGCGGGGCCTACAAAAGCGTTCTGGAAGTGGTTGGAGTCCGACGCCCGAACACCGCTGCAGAGGCGCGGCGGCTCCTTCGGGGAGCGTTTCACGTCTCCCCGGCTTCCTCCTTTCCCTTTTTCCGTGCCAGCCGGGAGAAATATACACACACAACAAAAACGCGCCTCCGTGATTTCCCGCCCCTGCTTCGCTATTTTTGTACCACCGTGACAACGGAAACAAAGCGCTGGGAAAAGTGAGGCTGCTTGACGTCCTGACTATTCCTCCCCGCCGCCTGAGTGGCAAGTTTTAACAAAGCTTTGTCATAGGTGCCAAGTTTACGTGTCTCCGTGCATTTGCTTTTATTTGGGCTGTGCGTTCAACCCTAAAGTCATAATTCTGTACGACCCCCAAGGGACCCTGGAATCGGGTGACAAAGCTACCTTGGATCCAGTTGGGTCGTGTAATGGTAAAAATCAGGAGCCCCCAATTCAAGCGTTTTGAAATCTGTACAAAGCTAGTTTGAATGGCGTTGGAGTTAACACCGTTCTGCAGTAGCGCAAATAAACGGAGTTTTATGTGGAGATAGTTGGCCAGGGACAAATAAAAACGTGTCTCAGAGTTTTGCACCTGGCCCAGTGCTCCACTCCCTACTAAACTGCAACCAGCATTTCCCTAGCCACAAACTCAATTTTAAAAAAACAAGACAAAAACAAACAAAAAACTCTCAGCACTAAATACACTTTGGATGATGAATTACAGGCTTTCCTAAGCACTTAATTTAGCCATGGAATGATTCAGGGGATGAAGCGCAATAGAATATTAGATCCAGAAAGACAACTGTCGTCATTTCAACCTTATTAATTGGATAAGATCCTGGGGGCGGGGAGGCGGCAGGGAAAGGGAGGGAAAATCCAAGTAATTAGAATTACAACAAAGCATAATACATGACATAGATTACTGGAATTGGAAAATAACTAGCTTGTTACTGGTCTTTCAGGCAGATTGTGACTTTATTGAAATAATTTTTATAACAAGCTGCATTTATGGGAGAGAATGTGTTTTAATAATTGATCAAAACAATTGTACCTTCATTTCGGATAAAGGAAGAGTTGTAGGAAATTGATTTACCTTCATTAGAATAAAAATCATAAGTGAATGGCGTGTTGTGAAAAGTAAGACAACAAATATTTATTGGATATTTAGCATATTCAAAGGGCTGTCATAGTCAGTCCTTGGGAACAGAGTGCAAAAATTATTAAGACATTAAAATGCATTGTGGTTTGTTTGTTTTTTTTAATTAACAGTCTGAGAAGTCAACTAAGCTTGTGTTGAGATACTTCAAAGGAAGATTTTCTTACTTGAGCTGGGTATTTTAAAAGACCTTAGGCAGAGAAGGAGGGAAGGCATATATAGTCAGGACACGGTATCTTTGAGTTTGAGTAGAACTTGTTTATATCATATTTTGGGCTGGAAAATATGTCAACTAGCTTGAGTAAATCTTGAATAACAGAAATTCAGATTTTAACATGAAGGAGTTGTAGTGCCAGCAAATCACTTGAGGATCCAGTTTACTCCTAAGAAATAATTACCAATTACTAAAACAAATATTCATAAATTTACCAAATGTTTATGATTGGTACAGGAGATAACAGCAATAAGCAAAGTTCCTGCCCTCATGGAATTAATAGTGAATGATATAGGTATTAAGCTTTGTAATTACACAATAATTCAGAAGGCAATTTTACAGACATTATCCAGTTCATCAAACAACCCCTACTAGGAGGTAGACTATTTACAATACTCTAGGCGAATTCTTTTATAGTCAGTCCAGCAGTCTACCAAATTTGCAGACCTTAAATAAAAATTTTAGTGTACTAAGCCATCATACAAATAAAATTGTCTCATTCCTTTTATATTTGGTTTATGATACTTTAAAAATAGTAGGGGGGGGGAGAGTTGGAAAGAATGCCAGTTTTTCAGACACTACAGAATACCAAAACTCCTTAATACAAAATGTGACATAACTGAACCATTTTTCAAACTGTTTTCTACATTTATTATTCAGCAAAAGCCTGAAATATGCATATAGTGAATTTTTAAAATCAAAGCTATGTCACTATTCAGAAGGTACATTAAAAGCATTCTGATTTCCAAGAAAAATATAATAGTGGCTAGGAGACATAAAAGAACCAGCAGGGCCCTGGCTAGTGTTGCTCAGTTGTTTGGAGCATCATCCCACAGACCCAAAAGTTGGGGGTTCGATTCCCAATCAGGGCACATACCCAAGTTGCAGGCTCCACCCCAGCTGGAGTGGTATGAGAAAGCAACAAACCCATAGTTCTCTCTCATATCAGTGTTTCTCTCTCTCCCTTTCCCTATCTCTCTCTAAAATGCAATGAAAAATAAAAGTTCTAAAAATAAAAGTTCCCTGGTGAGGATTAAAAAAAAGAGAGAGAGAGAGAGAGAGAGAGCGAGCGAGCAGGAACAAAGAGAAGGAAAGGGCACCATTTTTGCTGACATAATTAGTACCTGTCTGGAAGCCTATAAAAGTGTCCAGGTAAGCTACATTACAATGATTTCATGAGATAAACTTCTTTCCTCAGCACTGTTTTTATTCAGTCCTTTCATTCAGGAAACACCTGTGTGGCACTGAATATACAGCTGACATTGTGATAAATGCCAGCGATAACAGGAGAAAGCTCACACCCTAGTCTTAAACAGCTCACAACCAGGGAGAGGTTACAAGTACGGCATTTTCTGTCCCCCTCTCCTGCTCTGTTCTCCTGCTTGCATTTATCACCATCTAACATAACACAGATTTTGATTCTTTTGTTTTTGTTCTCTTGTCTCTCTAGGCTAGAATGTAAACTCCATGAAGTCAGGCCTTTTTGCTGTTTTGCTTCCTGCTGTGTCTCCAGAGCCCAGGAGAGGGTCTGGTATATTTAAGTTGTCAACATATATTTTTTTGGATGAATGTATGCATTTAATTCTCACATTTTGCAAAGTGAGTGTTATATTCAGTTTCCAGAATTAAACAAAAATGAAGTTAAATATTGTATTCTATATTCTCACATTAATAAGTGGCCAATCTTGGACTTAAAGGCAAACTTACCTAGCTCCAAAGCCAGAATTCTTTCCTTGCTAAACTCTCATGGACTAGAAAGCTAGCTTGAAAGCCTGTACTGTTTATTCCTCTATATTTCCATGCCCAGGACGACCATCCTCCACTGTCATGTTCTAGCATATTTAATTCCTTCTTTTTATGATCGTGTTTAGAAAGGGCAATAGGAGAAGCAGGAGGGCTAATGGTGGCAATTACTATTTGGGATAGATTTAGCAAGAAGCAGACAAAGGGCAGAGGTAGGTAGCAAGAGTATAGGATCTTGAGAGCTAGGGCAGAATACAGAAGTGGTTAGAATTGGCCTATGGCTATAGGGGAATCAAAAATGACTCCCTGTGTATGCATATTTATTCACAATAGCCCCAAACTGAAGACAAGCCTAGATACACACCTGCTATGGTTAAAAAAATAAACAAATAAAATATACTTTAAAAATAAAAACAAAAATAAATAAATGGGACTACATGAAACTAAATCAATAAATAAAAATAAACAAATTGTGGTACATCCTTAAAACGGAATACTACTCAGAAATAAAAAGAAATAAATTATTGATACACAAGATAACATAAATGAGTCACAAACAGTATCCTGAAAGAAGCCAGACATGAAAAAGAGTAAATATTGTATAATTCCATTTATAGAAAGCTCTGCAAAGGACAAATCTAACTTAGAATGACAGAAAACAGATGAGCAGTGGCTTAGGCCTGGGGCGGGGGGAATTGAGTGGGATGAATGCGAGAGTGATGGGAACACTGTATCTTGATCATGATGGAAGTCCAATGGGCGCGGACATTTGTCAAAACATCAAAATGTATACTTAACACAGGTACATGTCATTGTGTGAGGATTCTATTTCAACAAAGCTAACTTTTAAAACAAGAGCTCTCTGATGAAGGCTGACTCAGTAATCTCAATGAGTTTTAGGTCCAGAACCTAGGCAGGCAGAAAAATTAAAAACTAGTTTGCATCAGTTAGGATGCAGATAGTCTGCGTGAGATGTAACTTAAAGCCCAAATAATGATGGCATAAAAACCATCATTATAATTATCTCTCTTATAAGTTATTTTATTAATTCTAAGACACATTATTTTTCACAATTTAACATTTCCAAAATCAGAATGACTTCATTGTTGATGTAATAACAAAGCATTGATTCAGTTTTATTGCCAATGGGCTTTTCCTTAATAATATACCAATACTGGCATATCTTAAAATTTAATAACATGTTTTGTTTTTTTTTTAAAAAGAAAGTTTAGAGATAGACAGCCCAGAGCTGATAGATAAACAGCTCTACAAGGTCACCAGGAACACAGGCTCCGTTTTATTAGTCTCTTCTGCCTCCATCCTCAAAGTAACTTCATAGTCCCATATGGTCACTGGAGCTCCAACCATCATATCCACTTCCCAGGCAGGAGGTAGAAAAAGGAAAAAAATGGCTAACAGCCTTTAAGCTGCTTCCCTTGAAGGTTCTCTCAACAATTCCATAACTTTATTGTATGGACAAATCTAGATACAGGGAGACCAAGAAATACAGCTAAAGTTGAACACATTGTCAATCTCCAATAATATAGAGACTATTATTAAGGGGAAAAAGGAGAATAGATAATGATTAGGCAATGTTCTTCACCAGTTTCCAAAGCAAAATGTCTAAAACAGCTCAATGTAACAAGCTGGTTTGGGGAGCAAGGAGGTCAAAAGAAACAGCTAAAAGAGGTTTCTTGAACTACATTCCCTTTTCTTCAGGCTCTGTTGCTTTGTTAAGA